CCGAGCCGGGCAACCCAACGCGTCTGATTGGCGCGGCAGGCCTGTGCGGGGGGAGAGGTGGAGCGGTTATGGTGTTCTCGGGGAGGAGGCGGAGCAGAGGCGAGCTGGGGCGGGGAGTTCCCCTGCGTGCCGCCCCCCCTCTTACTTGCTGCAGGTGGCCCTCCCCGCGTCCCCCTGCCCCAGCTCCCTCCACCTAAATGCCGACGACGACCGGGGCGGCCGAAGATCCGGCCACCGCGGTCGCCTCCGAAGGACCCAAAATGCCGCCCCCCAAATGCTAGCACCCTAGGCGACCCTGGGCTTATTCCTTCACCCACTTACTTCCCTGTTCCTTCTCACATGAACAGAGAGCAACAATACCCAAAGTCCAAAGGTGCAAACAATTTGATGTTTATTGGGGTGAACTTCCAGCAAGCAATGATTCCAGTTTCCTTCATCAGTGTCCCCCTTCCCAGCTCTGACACCACAGAGCCTTGCCTGTGTGCCTGTGTTCCTGTTCCCATTCCCTGTTCCCATTCCCTCCCTTAGCAAAGCATAATTCCAATTCCCACACCCCCATTCCCTGTTCCCACCCCCCCACACACACTTCCTGATTGACTGCAGAATATATAGTAAAACTTGAGTTCTGCTTAGCTATACCTTAACCAATCATTTTACTGAAATTTAACTAACCAATCCTAACATACTGTAACATGATTATTTAACCAATTATATCCCACCACCTTAATTAGTTTACACCCAGCAAAATGAATTATACAGCAGACAGAAACAATCACAGAACCAGACAGAGATTATACAGACAAACAATAGGGAAGTGGAGACTACAGTGAGAGAACAACAACAAAATGAGGATTTCACATCCCAGCTATTGATAAGTGAGTTCTTGCCAGACAGGACGCTATTAAACTAAGTTTTCTTTAAATCTTCTAGGCTCTTCCCTTTCTCTGGAGGTGACAGGCATTATCAGGACAGGATTGTATTCCTAAAAGCCCAATAGCACCTTATTTCAGTGTGACTGGTGAGGATGTGACCATTCGCTTCCCAGTTTATGGCTGCCTCTGCTGCTTAGCCAAAGGCTTAGCCTAAGAACAGGGCCTCAGACTGTCACAGTACGAGAAGGCCCTTACACTGGCAGACAGTGATTTTGATTCTTTCTTTTATACCTCTATGACTAGCTAAGTGATAAGAATCATAGGCACTGACTCCGTGGGTGCTCCGGGGCTGGAGCACCCATGGAGAAAAATTAGTGGGTGCTGAGCACCCACCGGCAGTTCCCCATGGCTCCGCCCCGCCCCCCTGCTCCAGCTCACCTCCGTCTCCACCTCCTCCGTGAGCGCACTGCCGCATCCTGCTTCTCCCCCCTCCCTCCCAGTGCTTGCGCCGCAAAACAGCTGTTTCGTGGGGCAGGGAAGGAGGGGGAGGAGGGGGAATGCGGCACGCTGGGGGAAGAGGCGGGGCTGGGGCGGGGATTTGGGGAAGGGGTTGGTATGGGGGCGGGGCCAGGGGCAGGGAAAGGGTGGAGTCAGGGTGGGTCCAGGGGTGGGAGGTCACGAGCACTGGAGAAAGTTGGCGCCTATGATAAGAATACACCTAAATTCTTAAAGTATAGGCCTTTGCAGACAGGCCTGAATATCTATATCCTAACACTCATCTTAACATTGTTTCTGAGTCACATCATCGCAACTGTGCAAATAAAGGCTTTGCAAATAGGGTTTTCTATGTGCATTTCTTATACTCTTTGCTGCCATCTACTGGAACACTGAGTCTACACACAGGTTACCTAAACCAACAAAAATTGACATCTTTGGCCCAGTTCATCCTTGCGCCAGACTGAGTTTGGTTTTGGGAAGGGAATCAAAGGACACTTTATGTCACCTCTGGACCTTACATATTCTAGACTGGGCAAGGCCTGCTTCAGTATCCCAAGGGTTCTGCTAACTTGTGCCCAATGCATACATAGCCTCTAAGGGGCCATTGCAGCAGCTGGGAATAGCCAGAGTTCACAGTGCTCCAGACCTGCTCCTGTGGTGCTCAAGAATGTCCCTGGCATGACACATACATCGGGGGAATTCTGTGCAGGGCCAGATCCAGCAGTGTGGCAGTCCATTTATGCTGGTACAGTATTAAGGTGGTACAGCATAGGAATGAACTGGGCCTCTTGATGCTTCTCTACTCTTTTGGGGTGTGAGTTTGGGGGCATGTATTTGGTCCTTACTTTTTGAACTTTCCTCAGTGGCAGCCATAATCTGTTACCTTGAAACTTATCTCTTCAAGGGTTATAATATCTTCTGTTTTCTTAGCCAGTTCTTCCAGATCCAGCTTCCCCTTTCATTTCCTTCCAGCCTTTCTCAGAAGGGTCAGTTACCCCAATTTCTAGGACTTTTTATGACCCCTCACCCCAATTCAGAGCAGTGCCAGGCATAGCAGAACTGTGAGTTTATTCCCTAGTTAACTAGGAACAAAACATCACCTCCTTCTTTCCAATCACAGATGATGATTGAAGTGGTTTAGTGAGTCCACTGATTGGTTTTAAGGCTACAGTGAATTTGATGCAGGGAAAAGATGCTGGACTGACATTCTTTAGCGCCTGAAGTCCACCCAACAGGGACAGCATGGGCAGTGGTTGGTGCAGGCTTCTTCACACACTGCTCTGTCAGCATGTCCCATCCCTGACTTCCGGTGACCACCTCCATGAGTGAAAGGGGTGTTAAGTCTCCATGACCCATTTACTCCACAGCTTCTCTGCTGAGAATGGCAGCAAGGAGGCCAAATAATAGCACCTCTAGGGGGTGGGGTTTGTGATGTATGCCGGTATATAGATTGCAGGGTTTTGCATGACCAGGGTGAGAGCGATGCTGGGTCACATGACACCCTGTTTATTATCTGTAAACCACAGACAGAACAATGCTCGGAAGTGTGGCTCGCAGAACAGTACCACCTGCTCTGTGATCTCTTGGAAATGCTTTGTATCATTGTCATCTCAGAGTTGCATGCGGTTTTGAGAATGAGACCTACATTGGCTCACAGGTGGAATGGAATGGTGACTCACCAATCACTTGTGACTCTGAGCGTTTAACCACATGCAGAGACCAACCCCCCAGGGCCTTGTTATTGAAACTTCTGCCTTTTCAATTCTGCATTGACACAATATGAACACCTCCTCCTCACATCCTCTATGCTCTCTGCCTTCACCACATCCTCACAGCTCTCTGCTGCTCCCCACCACCCATCTTCTTGTCTCTCTTCCCCTGTCTTCAGGCTAACTGACTTGTGCTAAGATTGTGTCAGGTTTCTTGTGCTAGGAAGGGTCAGTACTTAGGTGGAAGACTTTCAAGGAGAAAGCAATTGGTACAGGGAGTGGTTTGGGTGACTCAGTAAGGGGCTCTTTCTCCTGTAAGTCAGCATTGACCCAAAGGCCCCTGCATGGTGCTAAGGGGTGCAGGGCTGCAAGAAAGGGTGTGGGTGACTCAGGAGGTGACTTTCTCCCATCTAAGTCAATACTGACCCCAGTGTCTCACCCTATTGCTGGGTGAAACAGTGTGGCTAGAGCTGAGTGGTAAAGCCAAGATCCTAATTATTTCTAATAATTGGAGATCCCATGCTGTGGCAACTTTAGGGCTATGTAGCCTGTGCAGTTGCATTGGCCCAAGTACTTCTGGGTCCCATGCCACATTCACACACCAGCAGTGTCACTCCAAGTTCCATGTGTGTTTCATGGCACCCAGAGGCCATGGTACAGGTGCATTTCTGTCCCCACTCCCTCCTTGGTTAGTTGCCCTTCCTCTTGGCTTGTACACACCATGAGGTTTTGAGGAATAGCTATGGGGTTCCTAGTACAGGGCCCCATCCCCGCTCGCTAGCGTTGGAGGTGGAGTACCCTGTCCCAGTTGGCTCCCTAGACAAAGGCAGAGATTTACCCCATAGTAACAATCCAAAACACTGAATGTAGCCAAACATGTTCATGAGCTACTTGGTGGACGATGACAAAACCGCACATGCAAGAGGGGTTACTAAACAGTGACTGTTAGCCTGTACACAGTCACCCATGGCCCAGTGCCTTTTAAAGTAGATCAGCAAGTTGAGACAGCAGCTGCTGCCAGGTCCTGAGCGCCCCTCCCTCCCCCCGCTCTGTGGATGGGATAAAGGAATGGGGGGCAGGGGGAGGGGGACACCCTGACATTAGCACCCCTCTTCCCTCCCCCCACCCTTGCACAGCAAGCAGGAGGCTCCCAGGGGCAGCTCCAAGGCAGAGGGCAGGAGCAGCACACAGCAGTGGGGGAAGGGATAGCTGAACTGCCAGCAATTGATACCCGGCTGGGTGGATGCAGCACAGGGAACTTAGGGGAGCGGGGAGCTGATAGGGGGCTGCCGGTCCACCCTGGTTCCAAGACCCCACCAGCTACCTGCAACGGGCTGTTCTTTCTGCAAGCAGCGGACAAAGCAGGCGGCTGCCAAACAACGTTGTAATGGAGCATTGTGCAACTTTAAACGAGCATGTTCTCTAATTGATCAGCAATGAAACAATGTTAACAGGGACGACTTTAAGTGAGGAGTTACTGTACCTACTTGAGTTGTCTCCCAGCTTGTCCCTTTTTACTAATCCAGCTCTCTGATTTACTTTTACCCCTTGGTCCTGGCATCCGCAGGCTAGTTTCTGTGCCTGCCTTTATGCCATCCATGGCTGGGTCTGGCCTAAAATACAAAAGCCACAGAAATGGTGTAAAGCCATCTTTGACCCCTTCCCCTTGTTCCCTACGCTCAGCTCATATCTGGTGCAAAAGAGAACTGGGCCCAAGATGTTCCTACCCTGATCCACCTGAGCCCATCCATTCCTTTGCTCATATCGAACAAAGCAGAAGAGAAGAAAAAAAAGCATAGTCTTCAAATAGGACATTTTCCATAGTTTTTCAGTAGGTAAGTGAAAGTAGGTGCCTAAAGACCTTTGAGGGTCTTGGTCTTTGTATAGCTTCCCCAACTGCAAAGCCCTGGGAGAATGCCATCTAGGCATACAATGACCATCTTGTCTGGTATCCCGTCCCTGATAGGATCAATGCTGAAAGCTTCAAAGGAAACTGCAATACCTCTCATTATAATGATAATTATTATTTTTTATTTGTCCAACCTATATAAGGCACCTTGCCGAATAGAAAGATATGGTCCATGCCCAGGAGAGCTAACAGTCTAATCTTAGATATAAATAATAAAGCACCCAATGATACAGTATTCAAGGCCCTTCATTTTTTCTATTTATTGATTTTCACTGAGAAATTCCCAGGTGTTTAAAAACCAGTATTTCAGTTTTACTGATTTTCACTCCGAGTTTGGCCTTTTCGCACCTGACATTGCTTTGGAGAAGCTCCTCTTGTGACACTAGCCCTTCAGCATGGCCCAGGGCACAGAGCCCCATCCACTTCCCCTGCTGGACAGAGCCTGTGCAGGGGAACCAGACGGGGCTGCGCTGAAGGGTTGGGGCTCTGTCCAGCAGAGGGATCCGTACTTATGTGCAGCCTCCTGCTCCCCTCCTGACCCTGGCACTTTTGCGCAGCCCCAACTGCCTCTCCACAGTAGGGAAGTGAGAGGGGTAGAGAGCTGGGTCTCGGAAGCTGACACCACTGCAGGGAGTGGAAGGCTTCCTCAGGGTAAGTACCCTCCCCCACACCCTGCCCACTATATCCTGTGAGTACCACGCACCCCTCCCCTCCATGTGAGTATTGAGCACTCTTCCCCCACCCACCCACTGCCCTTCATTTTTGATTTTTACTGATTTTCTCATGTTTTTAAAATTTTTGAATAAACACCAATACATTCCCAGGATATTAAAAAACAAAACCAAAGCTGAAAAAGAAGGGCCTTGACAACATTATACCACTTTATTCCAGGAGGGAGGTCAGCAAGGGATGGGAGGGAATTTCAATGTATATCCTGATGCATGAGAACTCAAAGACCCCTGTATTATCCTAACTGCAGATGAGATACTTTTCTAATCCCTATCAATGAATGCAGATTAACGTGGGCTCTGCATGGTGATGTGTGTCATTCCATGCTGCAGTGTGTGGACTCCAGCCCAGTAGCTATCAGAGAAAAAACACAAACTCAGGTTTTTCAAATGAAAAGAAACCAAGACTTTATTACGGCTTCAGGGGGCAGCCCCCTCAGTCCCTCACAGTGAGTAGCTATCTAGCTTTTAAAGCTCTGGGGATAGAGGGAGCCATCAGTGACTACTGAGAGAGATGGATAGAGAGGAACTACTCCACCCATCAAACCCCTCCATGGAATGGAATATCAGCAGAGTGCAGGCAGAAGCAAAATCCTTCTCCCTGGAGGATTCGGGGCAGTAGATAAATTTAGCTGTGCTCCTCCTGAGGTGCTGGAGACGAGTCCCAATTTATTCTCTGCTCAGCTTGTCACCAGCCTAAACAAAAGAAAGAAAAACACAAACAAAAGTGACCACCCCATAGAAACAATGGTCTAGATTCACAATGTGCTGTACATCACAGAGCAATGCAAAACAGTCAGTGCATCATCTGGCCCAGTGCACTTCCCCTCTTTGTTGCCAGTAGAGTCTCCACTGCCTTACATCTGGTGTCACTGCCATACTGATTTGGTAGAGTTTTACACCTGACTTTTCACACAAGTTGTCACGGATCCACAGGTCCGGCGCTGTCAAACAGCTCTGGAACAGTCCCTGGGAGGACCCCTTCAGTATGTCTGCCCCCTTAGGGTCACATTCTCTCACGGGGGTAAGCCACTCGGCTTCACCACCTCCTGGGACCCAACCTCGGAGCCTTCAGCACCCCTGCTTCATGCCGTGAGTGCCCTTCAGTGAGTCCACCTGAGTTGGACACACAAGGGAGACTTATACGCTCAAAGGGAGCAATGCACCCCGGACTTCCTGACTGAAGTGACTCTCAGCCATCATAGAAAGTCCTTAGTTAGCACGGAGAATGGAAAGTTACAGCAAAGTCCATCTGGGTCAGTGTAGAATCCAGAGCCCTCTGACCCCTCTTTAGTCTCAGTCCAGAAGCTTCCCTCTGACTCCAGCAGCCCACACAATACAATCCCCTGGTCCCTCCCCAGTCCTTTGTTCTCCAGTTGGTCAGAGCCAGCTGGCTTCCTAAGGAGGGTGGCTGATCCATGGTTGTTTGTTGCAAGGTGCCAAATGTCCGGGCAATTGGAGTGGCCAGTGGCTTCTAGGACAATCCATGAGCTTCCTCTTGGCAAAATCTGGGGCCCCAGGAAGCTAGGGCCCCAGGAAGCTAGGCATCAGTCACACCTATATCTCTGGGTCTCTGCAACAAGTCAACACCCTTTTCCTCCCACTTATTTAAACATGCCCCACATAGGAGAAGCTGAGCCACATACAAGAGTCATCCAAAATGTTATGAAAAAGTCCAATGCCATCACACAAGTGTATTATTATTTTTTATTGTTTTGTATTCCATTGTACCTAAGAGCCCCAGTCATGGACCAGGACCGCACTGTGCTAGGCACTGTACAAACACAGAACAATGATTCAATGAGAAAATAGAGATGGGAAAGACTTAATGCAGTAGGCAGCATCATACCCATCTGTCCATAACTCCCTGGATTGGTCCATAAGGTCTATGTTCTAGTGCTTGGTCCGAGCCAAGGTTTAAATGAGTCATGTAATGGCGCTTCCACCACACCCCTCAGGGAGATCATTCAACCAAACATCATTCAACAGTCAAAACTCTCCCCTGTATTCAAATTCATCTCATTAACCCCAGGATCTCCTCAGAAACCACTTAGCTATTCCTCTCCCTCCATGACATGTGCACTCTTTCCAATACACATAGAATGTTAACATAGCCACCTTAGTCATACTCTGGAGAAGCTATAGTTAATTCTTTTGAGCTTTCCTCATGTGTTAACAAGTGCCCTGAAAAGGAATATTTGTGTTGGATATGAGGAAACCATTCCTAACGTTGAGTTTCTATTAGACTGTGAAAGGGAAGTGGTGGAAACCTCATCGTTTGGGTCATTATACTAGACTGGACAAAGCCCTGCAGAATATATGGAAAACAACCTTTCAATGGCTGGGAGAAGGAAGGACAAGATTGTAGGTCTTTGCCCATTGCTAGCGTTCTCTGCACCCGATGTCCCTGGTGTCCTTGAACCTCTGATTTTGCCAACCCAAACAAAAACCAAGGCTAGCCTACCTTGACTCTCCACACCAGAGCGCTCACCAGCAAGGCATAGAGCATGGCTTTCCACAAGAGCACCAGGTAGGTGAGCTTTGTAGAGTTGCCAGATCGCATGTAGGATTCTGTAAATCAAACACTGATTATTTATGGAATTATATAATCTGGGGAATCTGCATCTAGAGCATCAACAGTCAAATAAGAAACCCACAGTGAGGAATAGAAGGTCTTACTATACATCACTGAAAAACTGGGCTGGATATCTGGTCACACCAGGCACTCAAATAAAGCTGAATAGCCTGGCATTTGTATTTATATTCCTGATATTCACTGGCTCTTTAATGCTTTTAATGCCTCATGGAGCCATTTGGAGAATACCTGTTTCATAGATGGGCCTTCCATGAGTAATGATTAAGCAGGTAACTTTCCAGTCTGAAGACATCTGCTGTTTATAATTATACTGAAGGAGAAGGAAGACGGAGGGAGCAAATCTGATTGGATGGGGAAGGTCCCACGATCCCCTTTGCGTAATTTACAAAGGGAGCCCCTGGAGTAGGCATTCTCAGTGCACTGTCTCTCACATGCAGGCTTTTCTTTTGCACTTTTTAGTTATCTTTTCTTCATATACTATACCAGACATTTTAGGCTGGAAGTTCTTGCTTCTCTCTTAGTGCAGAGAAACATAACACATTTCCCCCTCATAATAGTCTAGTCTCCTGTGAGCTGCAGTACTTTGGTCTAATTTTGGTTGTTGGCTTTAGTGTGGGGGTGTTGGATGGTGTTGGTGGCCTGTGATATTCATATATAGATGATCCAGTGGTCCCTTGTGGCCTTAAACTCTTCCTGACACACCCTGTACATAGTATCTGCTAGTAAGGGAGTTTAAATTCCTGGAGAGATAGAGGCAGTGAGAGGAAATGCCTACCTTCAGTGATGCCACATCCTGAAAGGCAAAGAAAGGATTGTAAGTCACAGTTTCCTCAGAGCTGACAGAAGACAGGCTTCAGAGTTTCTGGGATGTTACATATTGATGGTATTAGTGGTACTTACTCATATTATTTAGATTATAGACTCTTCAGAGTGTTTCTTAGCTAAATTCTATAGAGAGCTATGAAAATGTACTTGACTATATACATGTATAAAAAGACTATGCACATGCACATATGTATCCCTGTGAACATACACATATAGTCCTGGCACATACTCTTACATGTATGCGTATATGTGTGTTCATGAACCTGCACATTTGCAGATGAACACTGTCTTTCTTCTTGTATTTATGTGGGGATTATTTTCTCTCTCTTTCATCTCCTTTTGCTCATTTCCACTTTGATTGTTTTCCATTTCATACGATAATATAATGCTCAGTCGCTACTCACCATCTCCACCTCTGATCACTTTATACTGGATATCATCCAGGTGGAACTTCACAGCACACCGGAAACTGTTCTTGGAGTTGAACCACTCTTGGGTTGAGATCCTCAGGCGGCTGGTCAGCGAATATGATGAATTTTTATCCCAAGTGGAAAACTCATCTGTCCTCACCCCGTCTTCCCTCTCAGCATCATTCACCTCCCAGAACAGCTTGATGTGGTCGGGGTAGAACTTTGTGGCCAGGCACACCAGAGTGGCCTTCCCCTTCTCTTTGATCTCCTGCTTTGATGGGGGAAAGATGGCCACTCTGGGGGGGGTGATATTGAGCCCAACCTCTGGAACAGAAAGCAACATGGCACAGACGGCCCTGCACAAACACTCTCCTACCTTGTGCCAACAACCCCTCAGGGTACTGATTGTGTCTTTGCTCTCTAGACAACATTGATAATGCAAGGAAACCACACAGACACAGCTGGACTCCAAGGCACCATGTTTACTAACTATATCGGAACATAGCAGGCCTTTGTGGGGAGGGATAGCTCAGTGGCTTGAGCATTGGCCTGCTTAAACCCAGGGTTGTGAGTTCAATCTTTGAGGGGGCCATTTGGGGATCTGGGGCAAAAAAAAAAAAGTTGGGTATTGGTCCTGCTTTGAGCAGGCGGTTGGACTAAATGACCTCCTGAGGTCCCTGCCATCCCTGATATTCTATGATTCTAGCTACATACAAGCTGAAACAGAGTTCTGGTGCCTTCTGCAACAGAAGACTGGGAGGCACACTAGGGGACTCCAAAGTATTTAAAGGGATACTACCAAACCCAGGGATACTACCAAACCCATGCCTCCATACTGACAGGGAAAAGTATCAATGGGTGTTATCAGACAAAACATGCAGTGTGTTCCTTGTGGGCAGTGTGCTGCATTGTAAGACACAAGAAGCAATATGTTCATAGCAATTAGAGTGTTTGGGGAGGTGTAATAAGACACAATAGTGTATAACTCAGAATTATACTACGATGTGATCAGTTCACAGGCCCCATTCAGGCATTGGGAGGGAAAGGGTTAACCTTCCCCCTCTGGCTGGAGGAAGGCTCTCCAGGAAGAGGCCTGGAGCTGAGCTGAGAGATGGACCCTAACCAAATTGAGCAACTCCAGATCACTGCTTTGGCTTTAACTGGCACAGCCTTATATCTTGACTTTCAGTTTTGGCTGTTGCATCTATGCTTGGCCCTTAAAGGGGCATCACATTCCTTACATAAGCATCTCTGTTTTATTACAAAGGTGCCAAACTCCTGCTAAAGATGTAGAATCTTTTCCTGCCTTGGCTGGCCTGTCGTGGAAAACCCTCGAGGAATTGAGAGTGGAGACATGGAAACAGATAGAGGCATACAGACAGAGAACACCCCTTTGAGAATGTGGCATTCTGAGATGCAACATGCCCTGAGTTACTGATGATAAGCTCACATCATCTTATTCTCCCCTTAAAATGCTAGCATTAGTTTTGAAGCCACAGTATGTAGTATTTTCCTCTTCCTTGTAGGCACCTCTCTGTCCTATGAGAAAACCCATAAGATGAGAAATTCCATGCTTCCCAAGGAGAGAGAGAAATTGTTCAAGGACACCTGAGGTGAATAGCTAGGAGCAATGGGATGAAAATGAGCAAAACGAAATGTTGCCTGAATGGCAGGAAACATGACCTGATACCAAGGTTCTGGAATAGCATGAAATAGTCCACTCCAGGGAAGAAGTGTTGGAAACCTCATTACTTAAATCATGTAAAACTGGGATTGGACAAACCCCAAGGGAACGATTCTGCATGGGCCAAAATGTGGTGGAAAGGAACTAGGGGATGTACAAGATCTGACCTAGATATGATTTCCATCTCTACTTTTTTAAATTCTTCACCCTAAATTAGTTTTATCCTCCTCTTTATACTTTCTCTGAAATAAGAATATCCTTCCTGTAGATTTGGGGACAAGAGTGATGAGGACATACAACTCTGTCCTTGGTCTACTTGCTCAATAACATTTAGTCTATAGGATAGGAGACTTCAGTAGAAGTCGGCTGGGACTTTATGTATTTTATTTGGGACACAGAAGTTGCCATATCAATGATCTGTGCAGTCTGGTCTCCAACACTGGCCAAGTCAGGCATCAGAGGAAGACTTAACCACTTCATTATGCATAAACAAATACATACATTTGCACAAGCATGCACAGGCACAATTTGTGTTCGGTACTTTGCCCTTACTTAAGATTTGTGTATTGTTTTGAAAATATTGTATAAGTGACAAATTTAGGCAGGGAGCATTTCTAAAGCACCCACTATTATAGTACTAAGTTTCTCCCTGTTGGAACCCTTGCAATGAAGAGTTGTGTAGCAAAATCAAACAAATCACTGATCTTTTTGCAGCTCCACTATAATTACTGTTATCTCCTAATGCAGCAGTAGGCAATCTATGGCACGCGTGCCAAAGGCGGCACGCAAGCTGATTTTCAGTGGCACTCACAATGCCCGGGTCCTGGCCACCGGTCTGGGGGGCTCTGCATTTTAATTTAATTTTAAATTAAGCTTCTTAAACATTTTAAAAACCTTATTTACTTTACATACAACAATAGTTTAGTTATATATTATAGACTTATAGAAAGAGACCTTCTAAAACGTTAAAATGTATTACTGGCACGCACAACCTTAACTTAGAGTGAATAAATGAAGACTCGGCACACCACTTCTGAATGGTTGCCGACCCTTGCCCTAATGAAATGGGTTCCATTATGGATGCTTTACAAGATCCCTGGAAACACCATACAGAATGAAAAGCCATAGGTTAAACATATCCTATGGGGGTGATTTTCACTGTCCATTTCAGAGAGCCAGCACACCGCGCAGCTCACTGGGTCTGACTGGCTCCTGTAGAGGAACCATTTCTAGGGTATGTGGAAGTCAGTGGAGGTTTTTATCTGACATGGAACGTGTCTCAAAATGCTTGGCAGTTTTAATTTGGATTCCAAATCCTGGTGCTTTCTTTCAGCAATTAATATTAACCACAATAGTCAGTCCTTACCTAGTACAGTGAGATGAGTCCCCTCCGCGAAATTTAGCGTGCTGGCTGCAGAGCACAGTAGTAGGGGTCTGGTAGGAAACTGAGCAGCTGCCTCCCCCTCCCCATAAGCAATACTGTGACTATGGGGGAGCTATGATCCCTTTTATTGTCCCCACCATCATAATTAGTGTTTTGTTTTACAAACTGTTTTCTGTTGTCTTCAAAGCCTCTGTGGTATATGTAAATGCTCAGTGTGCTCATCCGATCCTGCCCTCAAGGAATAGAGAGTGGAGACATGGAAACAGAGAGAGAAACAAAGACAAACAGACAGACAGAGAAGAAAAAGGAGGACAGAGAGGGAGAGCGAGAGATAAAAAGAAAGGCAAAGAAAGAGATAGAGCTAGAGAAGGATAAAACACAAAAAGACAAGGTAGGTGAGATAATATCTTTTATTGGAACAACTTCTGTTGGTGAGACAAGCTTTCAAGCTCCACAGAGCTCTTCTTCAGGCCTGGAACCAGCCCTCTCTCACCAACAGAAGTTGGTCCAATAAAAGATATTACCTCTCCTCCTTTGTCACTCTAATATCCTGGGACCAACACAGCTGCAACAACACTGCAAAACACACAGAAAACATAGAAGGCCAGAGAAATGGGCAGACTACGAATGAAACAGAGAGATTGAGACATACAGACACATAGAAAGAGAGAATCTGAAAGAAATCTATTGATACAGTAGCCTAGGAATAGTCTATTTTATATACCCACTTGCCAAAGTCAACGTTTTTTGATGGGTGAATACACTATCATTGTTTTTTCCCCCCATCTTCATGGCAAGGCCAACTGGATAGAGACTGTGCCTTGAATAATTGTCTTGCCAGTTTTCCCTCACCTCCACTTGTGTGAATGCTACATGTCACTTGCATAAGGGAAACTTTTTAGGCGTCCTTCAGGGGAATGGGGAGATAAATCATGACCTCTTACCTGTAACAGTGAGCACAGTGCCAGCTCCGAAGATAAGGGGAGAGGTATTAGAGCACAGCTGTAAACTGTCAGAATAAAACCCACAACTGCTAAAGCCTAGCCCAGACCCCACTGCTTCCCAACTCAGGAAACTTTGTAGCGATCATGGCCAGATTGTATCACTGGAGACTGCAATCAGACTAATCTCTGGCATTCGACAGCAAAAGACAGGCGGCAAAGAGGAGCGTATGATTCTATAATGTCCTTCCTATCTCAAAACAGCCCCCAGAGAGGGTGAAAGAGAGGGACAAGAGAGAGGAACTGTGTGTGGGAGACACAGAGAGACAAAGAGAGAGAGGGAATAAGAACATTACAGAGAGAGGAAAATCAAGAAAAAGATAGAGTGACAGATAGTCAGTCAGACATTTTATTGGGGTCAGTGAGAGAAGAAAGTTGTGGAGTGCAACAGTCCCAGAGATGACATCAGGCTTTGCTCTCCCTAGCCACCACCACCCCCCGCCAACCCCACAGCCCAGGAGCCAGTAGCCTATTCCTTACCCAACACTGTGAGCCTGGTCCCGTCTCCGAAATACTGCTCTCGGTTGTTACACAGTGAGGCAGGAGAGTTGCAAAAACCACATGGACTGAGGACGAGTCCCCCACCCCAACCTCCTTACTCACTTCAGGAATGGCTGGAGAGAGCTGTTACTTCTTCCTTTCTCCTGTCATAGGACTCCCAGTGAGTGCTTATGTTATAATACATCTCAGCCCAGGGAGGATACGAGGAATGAATCACTGCAACTCCCCCCACCATCTCATTTTATCTTTTTTAGCCCCACATAATTGCTCTGTAGAGTGAGGAGATTGACTAGTCCCATGGTTGAATCCAAAACGAATTAGACACACATATGGCTTAGAATACAACGTGCAATAACACCAGCTAGGGTAAAAACACCACGGCTATCAATCCACAGGCTCCAGGGCTTGTGTTGGCCATTGCTTGGTATCAGGCCTGCCACTATGATACCAGATGGCACTAGCAGCTACTTTATGGACAGGGTGGGGGTCACACATGCCCCTGCAACATCTGGTATTAGCTGTGGGTCACTGGACTAGAAGGACCAGAGGCCTGTTCCAGTAAGTGGGACACAGGACTAGGTGAAGCATTGGTCAGGTCTCGTATGGCAATATCTTAACAATATCACAAACAACAGACAACTCGGGCTTCTCTCTTACCTAGGACAGTGAGTTTGGTGCCATCGCCAAAGTATTGTCTTTCAGAGTTCACACCATTATGCAGCTGCAGGAAAACCTCCCTCCAAACTCACTCTGCTCAACCCACCCTGCAATCTATCTCCCTCCTCACCATGCACCAACAGAAGGAGAAACCAAAGGCACAGCAAATTATAATGCCATTGAAATAAGAGATGGAAACCATCTGTTAGGTCACACCAAGTCCATACCTGCTGGGGGCCAATGCAGGACTGGTCCCTGCAATGTCTTCTTCAGGGCTCTATCTACTCCAGGTTTAAATGACTCAACTGATGGGAGACTCAGTCAGACCCACTGTAGGAAATACTTTCTAATATCCATCCAGAATCCTTCCCTTTGCTCATGGTCATCCCAGTATCTCTCACCCCTTCCCCCATCTAAGTCTTATCTCACTTGATGTTTACACTCTGTTAAAACAAATATTGATTCATTTAAAGTTGGTGGGGGGCCTTCCAGTCCATTCCCCTCTGTCAGGGCAGGATTGAGTTCATTGTCCCTAAACCATCCCTAATAGATGGGCTTCTAGTCTCTGCCTTGATGCCTTGATCTCTAGAGGTAGTGATTCCACATCATTCCTTAGCAGCTTGTCCTATCCCCCAGGCTGTTCAGAGTTTCCTGAACACAGTAAGGATAAAGGGTCCTCAGCAAGCACCGAGGGGAGACCCTCTCTGCTCCATTAGTTTTTCTTCCCTGTCTTGACCAGAAATCTTCAAAGTGGACTTTGCAACAATCTAGGTTGCAGTCAATCTGGGTCCTACACCTTGAATTCCTTCAGGCCAGGTACCTGAGACTTACTCACATCTCATAAAGATTTATTAATCACAGAAAAATTACTATAGGACTCTTTGTGACTGTCCCTGTTGTGGAAATCACCATCAATAACCCATAATCCTTCTACATCCTCATTACAAGGGACTGGTGCAATCAAAAGACTGGTGCTAGCAAGTACATTGACCTGGGGAGAACTGTGTGCCAATGACAACACAATGGTCATTTTTCAGGATTATAAAGGCAGCCTTGTTTTGCCCATCAAACTTGGGGATGTCCAAATCCAAATGGGGGGGCCTACATGGGAGTATCCCCCAAAAGCCTTTTATTGTGTTTGAACCACATGCATTAGACCTGGCTTTCTATTGTCAGTAAGCATCACCTTCTCCTGGGATTTTTGGATTCTCATTGCACTAAGCTTTCCCATTGGCTAAATGATCCCTTTTCCTGGGATAGCTGTGCCAAGAAGTCTACCCCATTTGGTCTGTTGTTAGGGGTCCTGTGTCTGAGTGGATGGAAAAAGAGCAACTGGGAATTAGAGCACAAGGCATCTGGGAGCACGGATTGTGATAAAACGGATTGTTTGTTTGTTGTTCTATTTTGTCTGTTAAAAATATCATGCATATTTGCTTGTCTTACCCTGTCACCCCAGACAAAACATGTATATGTTCAATCCCAAAGGGGCCAGAGTTACTGAAGTTAATGGACTCTGGTTTGATCCCTATACACTATTGTTTGTGCTGTTTAAAACATGATTGTAACTCAGTCCCCGCTGGACAGATGTGCTGATGCATGTGTTGGTTTTTAATGCTCTGTAGCCCCAGAATAACTAGCTCTCTAGGGGAATACTTACACCTTTGTGGATCAGAGAGATTTTTCAGAGGTTGTTATATTAATACAAATTTAATATACACAAATATATCACAGTCCCTCACCCTTCCTAATTCTTTGCCAGGGCAGCCCCATTATCCACATACATTACATTCATTCAGCAACCCGCAAGGAATTTTATGTCCTTACCTAGAACGGTGAGTTTAGTCCCTTCTCCGAAGTAGGCTTGGTAATTGACACACTGGGAAAACACCAGCTCAATAACCAAAGGGGGATGTGGATGGGGGGGTTGTTCCCAAAAGGGGAGATCTGGGATTTCAAGGGATTATAAAGAAAAATGGGATTTTCTTACCTAATACAGTGAGTTTTGTGCCTGCGCCAAAATAGACTTTATCGTTGGTCACAGTGACAAGGGGCTGCATCAGAAGCAGAAGAAAGGGACATGCTCCAGGTGATGTGGACAGACATAAGAGGTGTTTACTCTATCTAAAATCCCAGAGATATGAGGGCCACTCAGCCCCAGTATAGTGATCATTGGCATAAAAACAGTCTGCATTGCTTCTGTGCAATACTCAGCATTCACTAGAGTACTGTTCGTTATTTATTGATCCTAGTATTGTTTTATTTATATTTCACAATCCAATTGCTTTACAGACATTATCTAAACAGTCCTCACCTACCCCTGTGAGATCAATACATATTGTCCCCATTTTACAGATGGGGAAACTGAGTTGCCCAAGGTTATCAAGCAAGTCAGGGACAGTGCCAAGAACAGAACCTCTTGGTGACTAGTAGCTCCAGATTCCCAGTCCTGTGTTCCAAGGAGTAGGCAGCCATTCGCCCTGTAACTAGTGAGTGTACAATGGTCAATGAACTAGTTATTTAATGGGACCTAGGAATAACTATAAACAGGTGCTTGTAGAGAGTGCGATGTTCTCACCTTTTTATCCCTGAATGAAAGCAAAGAGCTCCTGATTTCGTCTCCTCTGCTATCAGAGTGCCAAAGTCCTAGGAAGACCCCGATTGAACACTATGGGGTTTCCTAGTAGATTAAAGAAATTAACCCAAAGCCCCAAAAATAGTCCAGGAGGTTCAGTCACTGATAATCTAACCCCTGCCATCCCTGAGTTAATAATGAGGAAGCCTTAAGCCTGTCACTATGATCAGCCAAGCCCAAAGGATACAGGAAGCTGAACTGGAGAGTGAAAGATCCAATGGAGTTTTACACTTAAATCACTATTACCTCTGTGTTTTGCAGCTGACACAGCAAGTCACGTTTCTGTCAGATCTCTGTTATGTTTTGGATTGTCTTTTTCTGGGAGGGTTTTCACATGAATAATGGGTCACTTATTGCAAGAGGTTATCACACCAGCAAAATATGAAGTCTCTCCCTTTTGCACTGACATGCATTTTAGGTATATCCCAGCTGAATCTGTTGTGCTCACAAATGTTTTAGCTCCAACCCAGGACTGGCTGTTCTACCAAATACTTCCCAGGTAGAATATGCAAGCAGAGCTGCTGATCTTTCTGTTGCATCCCCGATGGAGTGGAGCCAAATGCCCTCGGTACGTCCCAGCCAGGTAGAACACGTGCTGTGCTGCAGTCTTCTAGATATATCAGACCCAGGTGGAAAGTGCCTGCTGTGCTGTAGAATGGCCTAAGTATGTCCCAGATGCAATCCACATGCCTCGCTACTGCACATTCTAGGCACAGTCCAGGTAGAATGTGCTGCATACTGCGCTATATCTGTCCTGGCACACTCTCAAATGGGATACCCCCCCAGGGAGGTTTTTGTAAAGGCCTCCCTAGGGAATGTATCACCGTGGGCCCCCTGTCCCCACGACGTTACAATCTCATACAAAAACAATCCCACCCAAGGCTCCACCCCTTCATGACGTCAGCCAATCACCATCAGAGAGCTTCTCCAAAACCACAATCTATTTCCTCAGCTGCGCCGTGACTGCGTGTGTGTGTGTGTGTGTGTGTAAAAAGGAAGGATTATGTCTAACTGTAGCCATCTCTTCATAACACATATTTTTAGCAGAAGCCTTATTCCATGGCTAGAATAAGTCAGCGGCAAGCTTTTTTGTTAGTGAGCTGTTTTCAGAGACAGCTTTTTTCTACCTCCACAGCATTCTGCATGTTCCATTCGCACCCCTCTGTCCCTCGGCCTTTCCCATTCCCTGTGAGATCGGCAACCCGTGTTCAAATCCAACGTAGACCTGTTAGCACTGAGCCATGAGGCCCTGTGTGCACCTGCCAAATTGGAGCCTTTATTCACAGCTTTTCCTGAGCCTTGATATTTTCTCTGAAAATCTGGCTGGGTTGTACTTGTTTATGCCCAGAGTGTGAGCACAGTGCTAGAGAGACGAGCTAGATTGACAGTCCCTGGAGTCTGAGGCTTCTGTTTATCCTTGGAATGGCAAACCTCTGAGTGGCATACCATAGACAGTGGCAATGCAGGTTTCTTTCACGCACTATGTGTTGCAATCCTACCCTGAAGAGATCTCATCCGGGAACATGAAGAGAGCTGAGCCGCCGTGGCCCATTCAGTCCTTCACTTCTTTGCTGAGACTATCAGTAATGGGATCAAGCAACAGAGACGCTGGTCGATTCTGTGAAGCACCACCGTTATATAGATGTTCTCAGTGGGCATGAGGTCAGGTCACATGACATCCTGTTTACCTACATCACACATAAAGTTGAGCCCTTCCCCAGAGGCTTGTTTACAGGGCAGTTGTGGTGCATTCCAGGAAGGAAGATGTCATGGCAGCTAAATCTAAAACCTGCACACACTGAGCCAGCCAAGGGAAGGAGAAGACACATGAAAAAGCTCTAACAGAATCATCCAGTAGGGGGCATACCCCAACCCCCAAAGCCAGTCCAGCCCTTTTACCTATAGGACCAGCTCTTCTCAGGCAGCCAGCACTAGGAAGCGATACACACACACAAGAAACCCTGACATAGACTATTCAGCAGGGAGCAGCTGGTAAGGCCTCAGCAGGTTTGCAGAGGAAAGAGGGGCTAGCAGCAGTACTTAGCATCAGGGCAGGGGGGTCCAGCTGGGCATTTGGTATGCTGGCCAAATGCAGTGCTTAAAGAGAGAGTGTGTATGGGGGGGTGCGCACACAGGCGGTGTCACAAGGGGGTCACAGATTTGCCCCCCATAAAGAAAGAAAGCTGTGTTGTTAAGGGGCACACCTTAACAGTCTTACCAAACCTGCCATTCCCATGTTTTTTTCAGACCACTTTAAGCACTGGCTGGATGACCGCTACGTGTGGTCTCTACAGTAATGAAGGGTTTTCAGCACTAGTGAAATGTAAGCACCTCTGCAGCAGCAAATGTTCTGCACCACCAAAGCAATGTGCTTCTGCACACTTGGGGGCCACTAACCTGTGAGAACAATTGTGTGTGTGTTTGCCATTTCAAAGTGGATTACATTAAAAAACTATTACTTTGGGACATTATCTAACTGCCCATTTGTCACTGTCTCATCTCTGGACAATGTGTAATGTATCTCTTTGCCTTTCTGTCTCTCTAGGTATTAATACGGGGACCATTATCACAATAGCAAAGTCTCTATAAAATTAGGCTTTGATTTTACCTTCTTCTGTACTACTATTACTTTATTAATAATAACTATTATTATATAAAGAGGCATTTGCATGATTTGTATTCAGAGCCCCAGTCATGCCCCAGGACTGCATTGTGCCAGGTGCTGTACAAACACAGAACAAAAAGACAGTGCCTTCCCTAGGGAGCTTACAATCTAAGTGTAAACCAAGAGAAAACAGATGGCTACAGTAAGTACAAGGAAACTATGAAACAATATTGGTCAGCATGACAGGCTGTGGTTTCTGCACAGTAGCAGCCTAACCGTTGTCAAGTTTTTTGTAGTCAGGGCAAAGGAGAGTTTTCAGGATAATAATGAACTGACTTTGTGGCTGTTAATGTCCTTAATGTCACTAATGAGCCCCAGCCCAGAAGCTACCTGTCCTGTGAGATGGAGATCCTTTGGTCAATCACTTTGCTCCCTTTGTTTCTATTTAACTTTGTATCATGATTCCTGTGAATGATGTTGGCGCCTCACTTGGATGTTAACTTTAAGAGGTAATTCTCCAGAACACCAGCAGAGGGAAGCCGTTCTCCACTTTGGGTTTGAAATTGGAAAGGTTTCAGATTGTATGTGTGATAGTCAGAGGTACAGGAGTGCAAGTGTATCCATAGGCACGGGAACTAGGGGTGCAGGGGCTGAAGCACCCCCAGGTTTTGTATGGGGTCCAGGCCACTGGCCCCATGTCCAGGGTCCCAACGCTGCCAGCCCTGCACCTGGGGGTCCGCTGCTGGCCCCTAGCCCAGCCTCAGCCTCCTTACCCCTGTCCATGCTTCCCCCCTCTCCCAGAGCCACAGCCCGGTTCTGGTCCCAGCTTTGGGGAGAGGAGGCACGGACAGGGGCAAGGGGTGTGTGACAAAAAGTTTGGGGACCACTGGCTTTCAGCACCCCCACTGTAAAAAGTGTTCCAGAGCCATTGAGTGTATCCTGCATGTATTCAAAGAGGAGACAAGGAGAGAGACATCTTAAATCTATTTCGATGAGGCAAAAGGACCACAAGTACATGTGACAAAACTGAGCAAAGGGGAAACATTTCTGGAAATATTTTCTAACAGATCTGTTAGATTGTGGAATGGTCTCCCAGGGAAGTGGTGGCCCCATCACTCAAGTCCTTTAGAGCAGCACTGGACTCAGCACTAGAGAATACACTCTATAGAACAGGGGTCAGCAACCTTTCAGAAGTGGTGTGCCAAGTCTTCACTTATTCACTTTAACTTAAGGTTTCATGTGCCGGTAATACATTTTAACATTTTTTAGAAGGTCTCTCTCTATAAGTCTATATTATAACACAAAACTATTGTTGTATGTAAAGTAAACAAGGTTTTCAAAATGTTTAAGAAGCTTAATTTAAAATTAAATTAAAATGCTGATCTTACGCCGCCAGCCCACTCAGCCCACTGCCGGCCTGGGGTTCCGTTCATCTAGTTCAGCAGCAGGCTGAGCAGGGCCTACGGGACCCTGGCTGGCAACGGGCCAGCAGCCAGGACCCCAGACCGGGGTGCAGGAGCTCCTGTTTGGTGCTCAGGATGGTGCAGGACATGCAGGGCATAGGGGGGGGGCTGGGTATGTGTGTGGGGTGCAGGAGTCAGACTGGGGGCTGGAGATGTGTGAGGGGGTGCAGGGCAGA